TATACTCAATTTAACCACCAGGACAGATCTACATCAGCACCACCATCACTTAGTAGATTAAATAGTAATTCATTATTTTCATTTAGAGCGAATGATTTATTTACTGATATTAGAGCGGATGAACAGTATTATGAATTTTATATTAATCATGTCAACCAAGATAAATTACCACCACCATTAGAAATTCAACAATCCTTTTATAATATTCCAGAAGGTGATTTTGATTCTTATTCACAAACTTCAAGAAATCAATTCTTTCAAGAGGTAATTATTATAATTTATACAAGATTAAATCATAGAAAAGAGGAAAAATAATATTTATTAATTTTCTTTTTTTCATTATTATAGTATTTTAAACAAGGTCCACAATTTAATTATCCACCACAACATCAACAATATTTCCAAAAACTACCACCACAACATCAAGCACCACCACAACAATATTATCAACAACCATCGCCACAACAACCACCATATTTACAACGTCAACCATCATTTGGTAGTACTACTCCAATCGGTTACCCATCTATGACCCCACAACAACAACAACTTGCTCAACAACAACAACAACTACAGCAACAAATTCAACAACAACTACGACAATTGCAGCAATTACAACAACAACAACAACGCCAACAACAATTACTACAACAACAACGTTATATTCAACAACAAAATCAACAATCCCAACAGCCACCACAAACCCAGCAACAACAACAACAACACCAACAACAACAACTACAAAATGATTTATGGAATGTTCAAAGAGGATTGTCACAACTTCAAATGAATGATTCAAACAATATGAATGGTACAACTGGTAAAGATGACTATATTGTTAAATCCTCATTCGATGTTGCATTCTCCACAGTCAATCAATTAATGTTTGAGTCTGAACCATCAAAGCGAAATGGTGGTAGTGGTACTGGCGGTGGTTTACCAAGATCAGCTTCAAATTCATCATTAAACCAAATCTTTGAACCACAAGCCCCAAGAGTTGGTGGTAATAGTGGTAACAGCGGTACTCCAGGTAAGCCACCAATAATGACAAATTCAAATAGTGTAGCTGGTGGTTCAACAAATATCGTTAGACCAATTGCAAAGGTTAATATTGGTAATAATTTATTGCATTCAGATTTAAGTCAATTTGGTGTCAATGGTAATAATGGCAATATGCTAAATCAAAGTGGTAGCAACATTTTATCACCAACCCCAGTTAATCCAAATAGAACACCAACCCCACCAACATCATTACAAGCTGTTCAATCATCACAATCATCAACTTCACCTTCTGCCTTACAAAGTTGTAGATATTTTACCCAGGGTTATTGTAGCAAAGGTGTTAAATGTTCATTTATTCATGATCAAACAGAATCTTCATCATCTGCTTCGACTCCATCATTAGATAAGCTTGAAGCTGTAGCATCAGTTGTAAATAATAGTAATAGTAATAGTAATAATAATAATAATAATAATAATATTGGTGAAAAGCAAAATATTGGTAGCAGTGTATCACCAATTACAAATACAGCAAATAATAGTAATAGCGTAAATATCAATAGTGTTAATAATAGTAATAATAATAGTAATGGTAGTAGCAGTAGTGGCAGTGTAACTCAAAATAAGGGTGTCTCAAATAATAAACCACCACAACCACAATCATCATCTTCATCACAACAAAATAGAAAGCCAACAGAACATACAAATATCTTAAGCTTAAAACCAACCAACAATCCAAATCAAAGAGGTCACAGACAACCATTGTTACCACCACACCAACAAAAGCAACAACAACAACAACTAGCTCAATTGGCAATCTCATCACCTCCAATCACTGATCCAATTACTTCTGACATCAGTAAAAAGATTGATTTGATCGCTAATAAAGCTTATACCAGTGTTGAACAACTTGTTGGTTCAATCTATCCATTATGTCGTGATCAACATGGTTGCCGTTTCCTTCAAAAGAAATTAGAAGAAAGTGATCCACAATTAACCGAAATCATTTTCAAGGAGGTTTGTGATTACATGTTAGAGTTAATGACTGATCCATTTGGTAATTACTTGTGCCAAAAACTTTTAGAGCATTGTAATGACCAACAACGTCTCACCATCATCGAAAAGGTTGGTACTGACATCGTTCGCATCTCTATGAACATGCATGGTACAAGAGCAGTCCAAAAAATGATTGAATACTTAACCACACCAGAGCAAATAGAGCTTATTAAGCGTTCACTCAAAGATAGTGTTGTTCAATTAATTCAAGACTTAAATGGTAACCATGTCATTCAAAAATGCCTCAATAAACTTTCACCACAAGACAATCAATTCATCTATGATAGTGTTAGTAGTGATGGTAATTGTGTAGCTGTCGCCACTCATCGTCATGGTTGTTGTGTTTTACAACGTTGTATCGATCACGCTTCTGAATCTCAAAAACTTCAATTAATTCAAGAGGTTATCGCTAACAGTTTGGTATTGGTCCAAGATCCATATGGTAATTATGTTGTTCAATACGTTTTAGATCTTCCATTCCAAGGCCTTGCCACTGAAATGGCTAAACGTTTTGTTGGTCATGTCCCAATTTTAGCTACACAAAAATTCTCTTCAAATGTAGTTGAAAAATGTCTTCATGTCGCTGACGCTACAACTCGTGGTAATTTAATTCAAGAGGTTATCGATTATGATAATTTATTATACTTATTACAAGACCCATATGCAAATTATGTTATTCAAACTTCTTTATCAATCTCTGAACCACATCAACACACTAAATTAGTTGAAGCTATTCGTCCACATTTACCATTACTCAAAAATACTCCATATGGTAAACGTATTCAAAATAAAATTATCAAAGAAGCAAGAGAATCTTATAATTTCAATTAATTTAATTATTAATCAATAGTAAAAAATATTTTAAATCTCAAAAAAAAAAAAAAAAAAAAAAAAAAAAGTAAGTTCAAATATTTATATGTTTAAAATACTATAGCCAAACATATGCTAATCATATCTTTTTATTAACTATTTTAGAAAAAAAAAAAAAATCAAAAAAAAAAAGAAAATCCACCCCCTGTTGTTGTAAAAATTACATATATTTAAAAAAAAAAACCCTATAATATAATAATCCATCGAACATTATAAATTAGAACATTATTTTTTTAGAAAGAAATATAAGAAATCTAAATTAATTAATGAATCCCCCCTTGTTGTAACTTTTCTTTTTTAAAAAATAAATAAAAATAAATTAAATATAATTATAAAAATATCCTTATTATTGGCAATCAAATAAATTGCGCAATTTTTTTTTTTTTTTTTTTTTTTTTTTTTTAAAATTTTTTATTTTTTTATTTTTATTTTTTAAAAAAAATGGTAAAAAAAATGGGTTTTTTTAATTTAAAAAATAAATAAATAATTAAAGGGAAAATTTTAATGGTATAATATAAAATAATATTTGGGTAATCATAAATAAATTAGTTTGTTGTATAATATTAATAAAGAGATGAATTTTACAACAAATGGTAATAACTATAGTAATGGACATAACATAAATAACAATAAATATAATAACTATGACAATAACTACAATAATAATGATGAGTTATTCAGAACACCAAAATATAAAAAGACCTTAAATATACCCGAAATGTATCCTTTAGATCAAATTAATAATCACATTAATAATATTCAACAAGACCACCATGACGAAGAGGAATATGGGAATTATAATAATAATAATGATCAATATGATAACTACGATTATAATATAAATAAAGAGAATCATTTCAATAGCAGGGCCAATAATAGGTATAGCAATAGCCATAAAGAGGATGATATCCTTACAACCGATAGTTTAAAAAATGATATAGATTCAAATCAAAGGATGAAGCAAAAGGGTGGTTATTCTAGCAGTAGCAATGGTAATAATGGTAATGGCAATTATTTTGAAAATGATCAAGTTAAAAGTGTATATAAGAGTTTAAATGGCGGCGAAAAAGATGCATTAAAAAATCACATAAAACAACTAATTATAGATATTCAAGATATTAGAGATATTCATGTCGATGACGAAAATACGAAAATTAAACTAAAAGAACAAATAAAACAACTTGAATTAAAAAATAGCGAGATTACAGAATTCTCTTTAGTTCAACACAATTTAATCAAAAATTTAAAAAACCAAAACGATTCATTATTAAAAAAAGTATCATCGCATCATCAAAGAAATATTAAAAATAATAAAACATGTTAATACCAATATTAATAATCTCTTTCTTTATTTTAGAATCAACTACAGGAAAATCAAATAACAAATCTATTAGAAACATTAAATAAAAATCAAAAGTTTTCAAGCGAATTATTAATAAAGAATGTAGAATTACAAAAAGTTATTGTAGGGTTAGAATCAGAAATAACGAGACTGCAAGATATACCACATGCAAGTTATAAGCCACCAAATAATTTTCAATAAAATTAAACAAATAAAATATAATTTATTAAACTTTAATTTGAAATTTTATTTATTTATTTCTATACTTTTTTTAAGTTTTTGTTGGAGAGTTATTTATCAGTTTTTTTCTTTTATTTGATTTGTTTTTTGATATAGTAATAATAAAAAAGGAAATGGTTAAGAGAAGAAATAAGGTTACAAAAAAAACAGCGCCTATTGCGATCGACATATAAATATTTTTAAATTTTAGTTGGGAATATAGTTTGGGTTTACATATCTGATCACCGTATGGAAGCTCAATGCACCCATTATATACTTTTGTAAATCCGCAACATCCTAGCCAATTTTGATAGGCCTTTATATTTTGGATACAATAAAATTGATTACTAAGGTTATTGTTAATTTTATCTATATTATTATTCCATTCTTGTCCATCAATTTGGTTTATTAAAGGTTCAAGATTTTTATTTTCGAATTTATAGCTAAAATAGTTAAAAGGGATTAGAAAAGCTTGTAGAATAATAGTTGAGAAAGAAAAAATAAAAAGTGGTAAAGCTGTGTGATTTTTTTTGCAAACTCCAAAACATAAAAAAATACAAATAGAAACGGTTAACAGAGAAAAAATAATAGGTGTAGAGATGTTATATCTATATAAAGTTCTAATTATTCCCAAGTTATTTAATAAATCTAGATTTATAAAGGTATGTAATGTTGTTATAACTATTAGGGACACAAAAATAGTATATAACATAAATAGCTATATAAAGAAAGTTATATTAGTTATATTTATATTTATATTTATTGGTTTTATATTTTTATTTACAAAATTTATTAACGCCCCTAATGGAACAAAAAACTCAAAAAATTCTTTTTTATCCATTTATTATTTACTAAAAAAAATAAAAGATATAAATATATATATTTTTTTATAAATTCAACAATATTCCAATTAAAGATTTTATTAATGTTTTTTTTTTTATTATTTAATATTAAAAAATAAAAATAAAAAAAATAAATATTTTTATAAAAACTATTTTTTTATTTTTTAGAATAATTTCAATATATTTTTATTAATGAGGATTTTATAAATAAATAAATAAATAAATAATTAAATTTTTATTTTTATTCTTTATATATTCATAGTTTTATATATTGTAATATTATTTTGATTTATATATGCTGTATTATTATATTTGTTTTTATTATATGTTGTATTATTATATATTATATATTATATGTTATTATATATTATTGTGTTATTTATCTTCATCAATTTCATGATATGGTAAAGGAATTTCTCTTGTAACTCTAAATTTACCACAATTATTTAAATGTTCATTTTCTAAACGATAGATATTCCATTGGCCTCTTCTAACGATTTCAATTATACCGATTACAACTACTAATTTATAAGATGGTAAAAGTTTGGCTAATTGTGGAAGTGATTTTGTAAAAGTCCAAGTTAAACGGAAACCCAAATTTGAAAAGATTGCTATATAATATACGAATGTTGGTTGATACATTCTTCTCTTTCTGAGTGTCCATTTGAATGGGTTGTATGGGTTTGATTTTGATCTAACACAGATTGACCAATCCATAAATATATCCCACCAATAAGAGTAGAGTGAATTTGAGAAACCTGCGCATACCCAAATAATTCTCCATGGTGAGTGCCAGCCTTTATCTGAATAAAAACCATCCATTGTTGAACAAATTACTACAACGATTGATAATGAATATTTTAATGCATTTCTTAAATGTACGAAATCTCTACTATCATAATAACGTCTAAAACACTGGACCAAACGCCAATATGCTGGTAATGCAGACTAAAATAAAATGGTAAAAAGTTAGATATTAGTTTTAAAATGATATGTTATTTAATAGAATTGAATATATAAACATACAATAATGGGATTAATATATTTTGCTCTCTTTAAACAAACTGAGTTCTTTTCGGGGTGGTAGGCATCAACAGTATAGAAGCAAACGAATTGAGCGAATTGAACCATCATTAAAACCAAACTTGAAAGCTGATCGCCCATAAAGAAATCCTTGAATTTAACAGACTTTAATGGAGATGTTACAACTCTAAAAATTGTATTTAAAAACCATTTTCTTACAGATAGTTGGAAAATATTGAATGGGCAAATTAAAATTAAAAAGTAAACACAAAACAATACCAATGGGTTATACTCTGGGGGTACGAATGGAAATGGAAAAGAGTCGCTGACTGATTGCCACATGTAAACACCTATACTTGTAATCCAAAGAACGGATAATAAAGTAACTGCTTGGAATATCTTGTTATAGTTGAATTTATTTTTACTTAATTCGAAAATAAAACTGTAATGAACATGTGATTTGGTCCATATTAAAACGTTGAGACCAAAAACAAATGCCCAAAGCAAAACTAACCCTATTGCACTGTATAGATTGTACATTGCTGAGAATCTTACAAACTCTTCAAACTCTTTGGTATAGATAAAATAGTAAATTAAAACCAAAATTGCACTGGTCCATCCTGTACAAACACCTGTAAAAAATGATGAAGTTGTTGGATTTGATACATGTTCTGAATTTCTTAATTGTTTTCTTGCATCTCTAATTCTACCATTATTAAATAATTCTGAATGAATTTTCTAAATAAAGAAAAAATGATTATATTATTTATATTAATAAACCGCTTATGAAATGAAATTTTAAAAAAAAAAAAAAAAACCATTAATAACTATAGTAAAAATTATTTTAAAACATACCTCTATTGAACTTGATAAACGCTCCACTTTTTTTGAATTTTTAAAATTTGAAATTTCAATTTGAGCCATTACTTGTGGACCTAATGAAAGGCCAGTGTTTTTTTCAGCCTTTTTAACAATCTTGGCAAAACCTGTAAAATTGATAACTTGATAATTCTTTAATATAATTAAGAAATGGTAGTATTCTCTGAATGCCTCCTTTAACAATGCTTCATCACTCTTTTGTTTACCAATTGAAATAAATCTTTTTGCTTTTTCACCAATAGGTTGTAAAAAAGACTTTGGTTTGATTTGACTTCCAAACTCTCTTAATCTAAATTTGATTTCATGTGTGAGCTTATTTATTGTATTATTATCACTATTGTTTAGCTGGCTTTCATCGACTGGCATATCGATAGTTTGGTCATTATTATCTGAGCCACGTGGTGAATTTGGTGTATTAATATCTAAAACCTCCTCCATATCCTCGTCATATTGATAAACTGTTGCCATTTCAATGTCATCGTTCTCCTCATGTTCATCTTCTTCCTCGTTATCATCATCTTCCTCTGTAGCCAATAAACTAATCTTTACTTCTTTTTTAATTTTTTTAGATCCTGGTTGTTGTTGCGATTGATGAATAGATGAAGATTTGATTGGAGTTAAATTTAAAATTGAATGATGCTGGTTTATTTTATTTACAATTTGATCTTTATCGCTAATTGAGCTGTCTGATTCTTTCTTCTTTTTCTTTTTACTGTATGATTCAGAATATGATAGACCTTCATCTTGGTCTCTATCTTTTTCGCTTTCGAGGGCTCGTTGTTCTTTAGATTTTAAATACAATGGCACTTGAATCTTTAACTTGTCAAATCTCTCCTGGGCCTCTTTTTCTCTTTGCAAATAAAACTCATTTACTTTATTAACCTCTTCACAAATTGCTTTAACCAAACGATCTTGAATCTCTTTAAGCGAGCCCATACTTTCTAAAATTGTATTACTTGTATTCATTTCTGTTAATTGATCACTTGGCATTGGGGTCGATGAACCCATTGGTGTCTGTGGGTTTGATATTATTATCTTACTCATTGAAACGCTGTTTCTAAGTAAATGGGTATGATTTGCTCCGCTTGTATTTAATGATGCTGTTGATGGACTACCTTGCTTCGAATTAATTTGTGATGCGCTACCATTTTGTAAATTATATGCTTTTAATTCGCTAATATGAATGTTTAATGACTCTATTTCGCTTCTATATTTCTTTAGTGATTTTCTAATACCCTTGTAATCTACATATTTCCCTGACCACTCTGGCACTGTTTGACTTTCTAAATATTTCCCAAACTTCATTTTTTTTTTTTATATAAAAAAAAATAAAAACTAATTTATTTTAACTATTATTATTATAATTATTATTATTATTATTATTGAAAATAGATTTATATGAATAAGTTAATGTAACACTGTTTTTTTTATTACAACAAAATTTATAAAAAAAAAATTAAAAGATAAAAATAAATAAAATTTGAAAAAATAAAAATAAATTTAAAATTAAAAAATGAAACAATTTAAACACACAACTTTTTTTTTTGGAAAATAAATATAGTATTTTTATTATGTGTTGATGAATTTATGTGTGAAAAAACAATTCCATTAATAATATCTATCACAGTATAAAATATAATCAGAAATGTCAATAAAAAAAAAAAAAAAAAAAAAAAAAAAAATTATAAATTTAAAAAAAAACTTTAAAATAAAAAAAATAAAAAAAAATCGGATTATCAGTTATCGGTCATGGTCTGAAAGTCAACTTTTTTTTTTTTTTCAAAAAAAACATATAAATATAGTTTGAATATCAATTTACTTGGGCAATGTTTAAATATATAGTTTACTTCAATACTAATCTAAACAAAGAAAAAAAAGAATAAACTAACCCCTTTTTTAGGAATTTGAAATTTTTTTATTAATATAAAACAAAATTTAAATTTAAGGATGTGTTTAATTTTTGTTACAATGGGTGTTTTTTTGTTGAAATGGCATTGTTACAAAAAGTTTTAATATTTTTTTTTTTTTTTTATCAATTGATAGATAATTATCTATCCTGGTCAGAAAAATTTCTGATTTTGTGCATGGATTGATTAATATATTTTTTTTTGTTAAAATTAATTAATATTATAATTAAATAAATAAACCAGAATTATTAATGTTTATATAAATATAGAACCATTAAGTTAATTTCAATTAAATAAAAAAAAAATAAAAAAATAAGTTAATTTTTTAAAAAATTATTTATAATTTTTTTTTTTTTTAAAATTTTTTTTTTTTTTTTTTCATTTAGATATTTTCTAAAAGCTTTTTTGTCATTATATTTACAATAACCAACATTTTTATCATTATTATAATAAAAATAATATATGTACTTGCGCATTTGTGTTGTGTTTAAATTAAATTGATTTGTATCGTTTTATTTCAATTAAAATAATATTATATAAAAAAAATTAAAATCATTCATATAAATTTTTTTATTTTTTTTTTTCTGAATTCAATTTAAATTATTATTTTTATTTACTTAAAACCCCCAACAACCACCACAACATATTATACCAATTATTTTTTCTTATAAATATAAAATAATAACAGAGACAATACAATAATAATTAGAAAATGGCAAATGTTACACCACATTTACAAGGTTGGATTGAAAAACAAGGTGAAAAGGGCATTATCAAAACATTCAAGAATAGATTTTTCTTATTAGCCAAGAATGGATACGATTTACATTATTACGAAAAAGAACCAGTTGTAGATAATGACACAAGTTTTAAATCATCCATCAATAGTAGTACATTAAATAGTTTGGGTTTCATCGATCTTCGACAAGTATCATCAATTAAAAGAGTTGATAGCACTAATCATACGTTTTTGGTAGAGGCACAAAAAGATCAAAATACCAGGGTTTATAATTTAAAAGCAAAAAATGAAACCGAAGTAGATTATTGGTAAATATAAATAATTTAAAAAACAAAAAAAAAAAAAAAAAAAAAAAATTTAGATATTAATATTTTTTTATAATTTTATATAAAATTTCAGGATTGAGGGTATCAAAGATGTTATTAGATTTAATGAAGTTTCTTCCAATAGGGTTTTAATTTTAGATGACTTTGTTAAGCAAAAAGATGAAGAGATAATAAAACTTAAAGAGAAATTAAACAATTTAACAGAAAGTAATCAACAATTAAAGAATGAGTTATATGGAAAAGAAAAGCAATTAGAAGATAAAAGAAGAATGTCAATGGTCGCAAATGGTGAAGAGATTGCTAAATTAACTAGTGAAATTTCAGATATGAAAAAGGATAAATTAATGTTGGCAGAAAAACAAGTAGAGATCACAAAATTATTAACAACTGTGACTCTCAAAGAAAAGGATATTGAGATTTTAGAAAAGAATCAGGTTACATGTCTATCCGAAATTAATTCTTTAAAGCAACAGCTATTGGAAAAAGATTCACAGCAAAAGGATGCCACTATTCAGTTTGAAGAAAAGATAAATTCATTAGTTAAGCAAAATTCAGACATTAAACAACAATCAGAATCAAATTTAAATGAACTTCAAAATAAACTTGAACAAGAAAAGCAAAGTTTAAAAGAGGAGTTGCATCGTAATGAAATCAATTTTACAAAGAAAGAGTCATCATTGGTAGAGAAAGAAAATGAAATTGCAAAGCTAAATGAAAGAATAAAAGAACTTAATGCCTCTGATAATAGAGTGGCCCAGCTTTTGGAGGAAAAGATTAAAAGATTAGAGATAACAGTTACCGAAATGAGGGAGGAGTCTGACGAATTAAACCAATCTTTACTTTCACAGAAACAAAACTCAGAGAAGATTATTCAACAATACGAACAAGATTTAAATGATAAAGATGACGAGATCCAAAGAATAACAAATAGTAGTATTTCAAAATCATCAGAATATCAATTATTAATCGAGCAAGAAAAAGCTGAATCTACTCAATTAAAGGAAAAGCTTGAATTACTAACATCATCCAATCAGGTTTCGTCAAATTCTTTAAGAGATTCAGAGTCCTTAGTCATATCTTTACAAAATGAAATTAAACAACTACACAATGAAATATCAATTAAATCATCTCAGCTCGAATCATTAGAATCAGAAAAAAAAGAAATTTGCACACAATTTGAATTGAAAGAATTTGAAAGAATTAAAGAAATTCAAGAACTAAATAACCAATTAAAAGAATTAAAAGATATTCAAGATTTGAGAAAGCAAGAATATGATCAAGAGAGACAGACATTATTAGAAAAAACTAGCCAATTTGATGAGCAGATAACCAATCTTTTAAATGACATTCAAAACAAAGATATTGAAATTTCCAATCTATCATCGAATGAATCATCATTGAAGCTACAATTATCAGAATATTGCCAAGTTAAAGATCAACTAGAAGAAAAGGAAAAGGAAATTCAGAAATTAAATGAAACTACCAATGCCCAGTTAAATCAAATTAAAAATCAACTGGACGAAATCAATAGTATCTCTGAAAATTTAGCTGAAAAAGAAAATCACTTTAAAGATAGTCTCCAAAATAAAGAAAATGAAATTTTCAACATCACACAAAAACTATCAGATAAATCATCCCAGTACGAACAATTACAAGAACAATTACAGAGCTTAGATCTACAACTAAATGAAAAGAAAGCTGAAATACAACTTTTGAATGACCAAATCAATGGTTCAAATGATTTACAACAAAAACAACTTTTAGAAACCCAACAACAATTAAATGAAAAGAAAAATGAAATTGAAAAACTTTCTAATATCAACCAAACAATTGATACAGAGCTTAAAAATATTGGAGAGGAAATTGGTCAAAAGAATAGTCAAATAACTAAATTACAAGAGCAATTGTTAATGGTCCAGGATCAATTAAATGAAAGAAATAATGAATTTGAACAATTTAAAGCCGCTCAAAATGAATCCAACGAATTACTTCAACAACAATTATTGGACCTTCAAGAAAAGAACAACCAGATGGCAGAAAAGGAAAATGAGATTCAACAACTAAATGAATTAAAAGTAAAAGAGTTATTAAATCTCCAAGAAGAATTACAAGATAAGGATCATCAACTTAACCAATTGAGAGACCAAATCAATAACTCCAATGATTCACAACAACAAGAGCTATTACAGACTAAAGAGCAATTATTACACAAATCGAAAGAACTCAACCATCAACTTGAGCAATTAGCAGAAAAAGATTCTCAAATTATTCAATTCAAAGAAACCCTTAGCAATAAAGAAATCGAAATTAATGAAATAAATAAGAAGTTTGAAATTGAAATGAACCAATCAAATGATGTCGTAAACGAGTTAAATGAAAAGGTTCAACAACTTACAAATAATTTACAAGAAAAAGAAAAAGAGGTTCAAGATAAGCTTAAAGACTTGGAAGAGAAATTAGCAGAGAGAGAAGACCAACTAGAAGATATATCAAATCAATTGAACTCATTAAGAGATGTAGTTAATAAGAAGGAAAGTGAAATTGAAGAGTTGGTTGAAGAAGTTTCAAAATTAAAATCTGAAAAAGAGGAGGCAGAGCAAGAGCAAGAAGAGGCAACAGATGCTACAAAGATTGAACAATTGGAGTTAGAAATAGTACATATTAAGGATCAACTATCAGAAAGAGAAAGAGAAATATCGGAATTAATGGTATCAAGTGACGACCTTCAAGATAAATTAAATGATTTATCAGATCAATTATTCTCAAAAGAAAGTGAGATTGAAGAAATAAATGAAGCTTTAACTAAAAAGGAGAATGAATTAGCTGAAGCTCTAGATCGTTTGAATACAACCTCAATAGAAAATTCCAATTTAATAAATGATCATAATACTACAAAAGAAGAACTCAAATTATTATTTAATTTAAATACAGAAAAAGATGATCAGATTAAAGAACTAGTTCACAACTTGGAACTCATAAGTGAGGAGTCCGATAAGAAGACTAAAGAGGCATTTAGTTTAATCGAAATATCCCAAGAAAAAGAAGCCACAATTGTAAAACTAAGAAATGAGTTAGAAAACCAAGGTAGAGATCAAGGAAATACTAAAGATTTAGAACCAAAAAGAATAATGATAGATTTTGAAAGTGATGAAGATAACGATCCTGCCGATGTATTAAATCGTCATGAAATTTCAGAAGAGATTAAAGGACTAAAAGAAAAACTTACAGTTACACTCTTAAAAAAAGAAAAGGAAATAAATATAATGATAAAAGAGTGCGAAAATTTACGTCAAGGTATTTCAGTTAAAGATCGTGATATATCACTTTTAATGTCAAAACTTGAAGAGAAGGATTTAATGCTGAATGAAGCATCATTAGAGCTAATGGAAAAAGACCAATTAATTATTGATATACAGAACCAATTAAGAGATTATTCAATTCAACAACAAGAACAACCAAAGGATTTAATAAATAACCAATATAGCCCAGATCTTCAACTTTCAAATAACAACAATAGTAATAACTTTTCAATTAACGACATTGACAAAGAAGAAATCATTTTTGAAAACTTTAAACTTAAAGAAAGAATAGATTTATTAGAACAGGAGCTATCAATTGAAAAAACCAAACTCGATGATATCTGCCAACAATTCAATGGTATCATAAAAGAACATGAATCCAAGTATCAGCAATTAGAGGAAGAAAATGAAAACTGGAAGAATGAATTTGATAGAGTAAACGACAAACTAAGCGATATTTCAACAAACTTTAGCAACAGTAATAATCATAATAAAAATAATGAACTTTTCGAACTTCTTAGAAGTAAAGAAGATGTAATTGTCAATTTATCAAGTAGTATCAATTCTTTACAATGCGATGTTGAAAAGAAAGAGATGGAGTATCAACAAAGAATTAATAATATCACAAACTATTTAGACTCTGTTAAAGAGAAATACTTTTTTGCTATTGCTCGTAGTCTTAAATTACAAGGTACCCAGCTTGGTTGGAATTGTTCAGTTTCAATTTACGAGATTTATGACGAAGTTAAAAGCTCTAAAATTTCCTTTGAAGATTGGCCAATATTTATTTCAAATAAATTATCAAGATAAATTACAATTAAAAACTATTACGATTTAATATAAAAATAAAATATAATATTTATAAATTTTTTTTAAATTATTGTAGAAGCCGGTCAAGTTTGCGCACAAATTTTGTTATTTCAAAATTTAGTGCGAGAATTTGTTATATCAAAATAAAAAAAATATTGTGTATTGAAGAAGATGGTCAAGTTTGCGCAAATTTGTAATATAAAAAAAATTGTTATTTCAAAATTAATATGGAGAAAAAAAAAAAAAAAAACACATTTTTTTAATTTTATATTTTACAGCAATTAAAAATTTTTTTATTTTTTTTTATTAATTTATTAGTTATTTTTACATAAAAATTAAATTTAAAAAAGTTGAATGAAGATAAATAGAAAAGTTAATCAGACCCTTCACTATCTGACGATAAATCAATTGGATTAACAGAGCCACCAATGGCAAAATTGATTTTTTCAGAACCTTCAATCTCTGCAATGTAAATTTTTAGAATTCTGTCCATCGCAACAACATAGAGAATTTCATAAAGAAGAAAGAAGATCATACAAAAAAAAAATAAGTGATGTTGATGAAAATATAGAAAGTGAAGAAAAATGAAGAAAATAGAAAGGGTGAAAGTGAAAAAAATATAGAAAAGATTTTCACTCTATTCTCTAAAATATTAACACATCTTTTGTGATAATCTAGCTGTTGCTGAGATTGGACTAGCATTTCTGATGGTCCTTTTACTTTTTTGATCGAAGGTGATAATGGAGGAGGCTTTAATGAGGGTGGTGCTTTGTTTGCAATTAAAGAAATAAGATTGTTTTTGTTGATGACAAAATTGGCTTCATGAGATTTGAAATCAGGCATTTTGGGTACTCCATGAGGTTTTATTTTACTAGTCTCACTGAGATATTGTGGAAGTAGAGTTTCATCTTTATTCTCATCTACATTTTTTAAAAAAGATACTAAAAAAAAAAAAAATGCATTAGTATTATTTAATAAAAGTTAATTAAATTATATTTACCTTTGAGATTGAATTTTTAGATTGGTTTTATTGTTGACTCTCTATATTTTTTTCACTTTCACCCTCTCTATTTTCTTCATTTTCTTCACTTTCTATATTTTCATCAACATCACTTATTTTTTTTTTGTATGATCTTCTTTCTTCTTTATGAAATTCTCTATGTTGTTGCGATGGACAGAATTCTAAAAATTTACATTGGTGGCTCTGTTAATCCAATTGATTTATCGTCAGATAGTGAAGGGTCTGATTAACTTTTCTATTTATCTTCATTCAACTTTTTTTAAATTTAAATTTTTATGTAAAAAATAACTAATAAATTAATAAAAAAAAAATAAAAAATTTTTTAATTAATATTATGGAAAATGGTTTTTTTTGAAAATCAAATAATTTTAAAAAAAAAATTTTTAATTAATTTTATGGAAAATGGTTTTTTATAGTAAAATCAAATAATTTTAAAAAAAATAAAAAAAATTAAAAAAAATTAAAAAAAATTAAAAAAAAATAAAAAAAAAATTAACAAAAATTAAATTCAGATAAAAAAAAAAAAAAATTTTAAAAAAAAAAAATTATTTCTAAATTAATTTGGTTGATTTAAAACATCCTTTATATTTGAAATTCTTTTCTTAATGGAGTATAATCAAAAAGAATAGCAACCAAATTAAAAATGATAAATACAATATCTTCATACTCATTTAAACAACCTCTGTATTTTCCAGATAAGATAAGTAATGCTTGTTTTGCTCTGCAATACCTTTTTTCTATTATTCCCAATATATAAATTATTTATTAAAAGAAAAAATATTATAATACTAACTAGTAATTTTATAGTTTTATAGTATATACAATTAAAAACATTTATTTTTTTATTGTTGTTGTTTTTATTCCTGTTGTTGTTGTTGAGCCAATTGGGTTCTTTTAAATAATCTTCTAATAGATTGATGGAACTCGTCATAGTTTTCAATATTTACTGAGTGACCAGAACCTTCTAAAACCAAAAATTCGCTTGGTTTTAAAATATCATTTAAATAAAAAGAGTTTTTAGGCTTAACTAAATGATCATCGGTTCCGGTTATAACTGAAATTGGGAATTGATATTTTTCTGCGCTGTCTTTGATTTTTAATAATCTTTCTTTTGAAACACTATGAGTATTTACAGTTTTTATGTGGCCATAAACACCAAGTAATTTTGGTTGTTGATTATTTGTGCAATCGAAAACATATTTTTCTAAAAACATATCTCTATTGGTTTTTTCTGGTTGAGTTTTTGATGGTTTCTTTAAGTACTCTGGTGAATATAAAATATCTACAAGTAAATCTCCTCTTGTGTAATGATCTTTGACGAATAAAGTTCTTGTAATTGTTTTGATACCTCTCCATGGAGCTAAACTACCGGCATGGGTTACAACTAATGCAAGAGATAATAGTCTTTCTGGAAACATTGATGCAAACTCTATTGATATCATACCGCCCATTGAAATACCAACCAAATGTACTTTGTCCCATTTTAAGTGGTTCATTAACTCTTCAATATCCTTTGCCATTTCTTTTGATGAGTATTTACTTGGTGCACCACTTTTTCCTGAGCCTCTATTATCGAATATTAAATAATTGTACTCTTTATCTTTGGTAAACTCTTCCAAATTGGTTCTCCATGCCTCTAAAGGTGTTAGAAATCCCATTACCAATACAACATTTTCTTTTCCACTCAACTGAACTGGTGTTTCATCTGCACCATCTTGATTTATAACTTGCTCACTATTGTGAATTTCATAGTGCATTTCGAATTCATCACCTCTTGATTTACCTAATTTAACATATGGCATTTTTTATTTATTACACTTTTTTTTTTTACACTGAATTTAATTTACAATTTTTTAAAGTTTTAAACAAACAAATACAAAAATAAAAATATACAATAAATATATAAATATATAAATAAAAATATAAATAAATAATGTATGTTTCTATAAATAAATAATATTACTATTTTCTAAAAAGTTAAATAAAACAAAAAAAAAAAAAAAAAAAAAAAAAGAATTTATTTTATTTTTTTTAATTTTTTTTTAATTTTTTTTATTTTATTTTATTTTATTTTATTTTTTATTTTTTTTATAAGGTAATATATTACCACATTTTCTTTTTACTCAAATTAATACACTTCCTTTTTTTTTTTTTTTTGTGTGCTTTTTTACAACTATAAATCTCAAATTTTATTAAAATAAAAGGTTAATCTATCGCGATTTTTAACCATAATAATAAAATAATGAGTTCAAAAGGGACAGCATTGAAATGGTCACAAAGGGTAGCATCATCACTTGGTGAATGTTCATTAGAGGTTCGTTATTTTATATATTTATAATAAATAAATATTATTAAATAACAAAACTAATAAAATTTATATTATAAAATAGATGTCAGCATATGGTTCATGTGTTGTAGCAAACCTAGATAATATTGAAAAAAATGTTTGTAAAGTCGAATTTGATAAATTTAAAGCATGCATATCAAAGAGCATCACCCATAAAGGAAAGAAATAATAAAATCAAATAATAAAATCAAATAAAAATAAAACCAAGCGCTTTGTAAATAAATATAGAAAGAATAAATTAATTTCGAAACTGTATATTCAAATAAAAATCGATTTAAATAATATTATTAATTTAAAATAAGAAGTAATTTATCTCGTAAAAATGGTATATTTTATTTATTGTTTTGGTTAATCTTTAAGAACCTAATCTAAAGATAAAGCATGTGGTTATTATTTATTCCTTTTATTTATTCCTCCTCTTCATCATCATCCAAAGACCAGCCTAAATCATCCATTAAATTTGATACTTTGTTGAAAAATATGTTTTGATTAGTTTTCTTTATTTCTTCCTTGTTGCTGATATTACTATTTGGTATTGTAGAGGTGGTTGATGTTGTAGTGGTGGCATTGGTATTGGTAGTGGTGGTGGTGGTTGTAACTGATGCCTCAATCATTTGTTGTGGCATTATTTTTATTTGTTGTGGTTGCTGTGGTATTGGTGGTATTTTATTATTTATCTGTCCTTTATTTATTTCTTTTATAGTCTCTGTTTTTTTTATAGAAATTACTTTTTCCTGTTTTTTGGTTACTTTTTGCTTCAGTGGTTTTTCTTTTTTGCTGTTTGGTTTATTATTTAATTTTGATGATATTAATCTCTTTTTTCTTAGTGAGTTTAATCTTTTAGTATTATTATTTAAAAACTCTGTAAATGGTAATAAACTTTCATCTAAAACAAACTCCTCACTATCTGTATATTTTTCTAATTGTTGCTGTTGTTGTGGTTGCTGGTGTTTCTGCTGAAGCTGTTCCTCTTTTTTGTTTAATATATCCGGGTTCCATGACCATGCCTCATTATTTACTATTTGATCAATTGACAAACCATCACTCTTTAATTTCTCGATATGGTCTTTATATAATGGTGTTAAATGTTTTTTACAAAAAACCGTTTCTTTATACACTGGTTTTAAACACTGTCTAAAAAAGCAAAAGGTAAATTAGTAATCATTATCTTTATATTGATCAAAACAAAAACCTACTTTGAAAACCTTGAAACACCCCTACACCTAATTATATTTAATGAGTTGCTTGGGTTACTGTAGATATGTTGCCTGCAATAATTTTCACCAATCGTAGCTACTTTATTTTTACATTTACATCCATCTTCTTTTTTAAATTTGCATCTTTCCTTTTTGGCAATCTCTTCATCTCTCGAAAAATTTTTATATAATAATTGTCTTTTTAATTTTTTTTTTAATTGCTTTGAGGATATTTCTCTTTTCTTTTTTTCATTATCTTCGTTTTCGTGCACCAATTTTAATTTTTTGTTGAAAACTGACCTCTCAAATGATTTTAAACTTCTTTTTTGTCTGCTTGATTGTAGTATATTATTATTACCATTGTTATCTCTTCGGTCCATATTATGATAAATATAAAACAAATTGCACTATCTAATTTTATTTTTATTATTCATATCTAAATGTTTTATTATTATTCATAAATAAAAATTAATTAAAAATCTACAAAATTCTAATAAAAAAATTTATATATTAATAAAACAAAAAATTAAAAAAAAAAAAAAAAAAAAAAAAAAAAAAATTATTTAAAAAATAATTATTTTTTTATTTTATTTATTATTATTTTTTATTTTATTTATTATTATTATTATTTCTTTTATTTTATATAAATAAAAATTAAAACTAAATTTATTTATTATTTTTCAAATACGGTATTATAAAAAAAAAAAAATCGATTAACCATGTGGTGTGGGTGTTAAATAAAATAATTATTATAATTTTATTTTTTTATTTTAATTTCTTTTTTGTTTTTTTAATATAGTTCTTTTTTTTTTTTTTTTCCTTTATATTAAAAATAAAAGAAAAGATAGCAAAAGAACAGAGCAATTAATTTAATTAAAACAATTCACATCCATTATCCACACAACAATTATTTTTTTTTTTTTAATTTTTTTTTATTTTTTTTTTAATTTTTTTTAATTTTTTTTTTTTATTTTAAATAATTTCATTTTTTTTTTTTTTGTTTTTTTTTTTTTTTTTCTCTTTGGATCAACACTATAACTTTTTAATTATTATATCTATTTAATAAACAATTTTACATGTTTAATTAAATAAAATATCTTTATTAGATTACCATAGCGTATTAAATATTATATTTATAACATTACAATTATAAAATAATTCAATCATAAAATTTTAAAATTTAAAACTTTAAAATTAAAACACACCACATAACCAAAAATATATATAAATAAAACAAATAAATAATAAAATGCCTTTATTTGAAACTATTAAACATACATATAAGTAAGTGTAAAAAAAGAAAAGAAAAGAAAAAAAAAAAAAAAAAACCGTGAATTTTCGTAAAAATATTGGGAAAAAACAAAAAACTAATATTAACATTTTTCATTATTATTTTTCAGACATTTATGGTCAGATATTTCAACAGCAAGTTGGAGAAAATATCCATCACCAGAAAGACCAGATGTATTAAGTGTAGATATGTTGTCAAAAGAATTTGACCCAGCAACAGGTGTTTTAAAATGTACCAGATTAATTATTTGCAAGAATAACACTCCATCATGGTTAACAAAAATATTTGGAAGTGGAGAGTGTTTCTTTTATGAAGAGAGCACAGTCGACCCAAAAAATAAAGTAATGACATTAAGAACAAGAAATTTAAATTTTACCAATTTATTAGGTGTCGACGAAGTATGCACATACACACCACATCCAGAAAACAACGAATGGACATTATTTACACAAGAAGCTACAGTTAGTTCACAAATTTTTGGTGTTGCACGTAAAGTTGAGTCTTTTTGTTTAGATCGTTTTGTTTCAAATGCAGGTAAAGGTCGTAAAATTATGGAAGATTCAATTATAAAGGTTAAAAAAGAAGCTGAAGAATCAATAGCATCAATTGATAAAACTTTTACAAATATAAAGCACGAAACAGAATTAAGTTTTAACAAAATTATTAAAGAGGCCGAGGAAAGTTTAGATAAAGTTTTACCAATTGTTAAATTAGATGAATCAAAAAATAATAAAAATAATAATAACCAAAATAATAATAATAATAATAATAATAATAATAATAACAATAATAATAAAAAATAACAAAAATAGTTCTTATAAAATAATAATAAAATAAAATAAAATAAATATATATATAATTAATTTTATGTGTAAAGTTTTTAAAAAAAAAAAAAAAAAACTATGCCTGGTGCCTTTTCCCATTTTTCTAAAAATACTAAAGTAAATCTAGATCCACTTTTCTTTTTTATTTGTTTTTTTTATTTGTTTTAAATATATTTGGAATAGCCTTTTTTTTATAAATCATTTATTTTTTTATATATTAATAGAGGTTATTTATTTGGTTTTTTTTCAAATTTAATTTTTTATTTGAACAGGAAAAATAAATTTCTTTTTATTTTTTTTTATTTTTTTTTCATTTTTTTTTCAATTTAGAATGTGTTAATTTTTTTTTTATTTTCAAATTTAAATTATATGCAAAACATCACCAAAAAAATTATTAATAATATTTCAAAATTAAATAATAATAATAATCATAAAATAATGGGTAAAGTAACAATTTCTAAAAAAGTTGAAAAACTTAGAAATTTAATGAAAGAAAATTCATTAAGTGCATATATTGTACCATCAGAAGATGCACATCAAAGTGAATATATTTGTGTAAAAGATAAAAGAAGAGAATATATTAGTGGATTCAGTGGCAGTGCTGGTTGTGTAGTTATTACTGAACAACAACAATTATTGTGGACTGATGGTCGTTATTGGTTACAAGCTGAAAAAGAATTAGAATCAAATTGGAAAGTTATGAAGGACCGTGTTGCTGGTGAACCAACTATTCAAGATTATTTATCATCTGTAAGTTTATTAAAATGACAACATTTTTTTTTAACAATGGAAAAATTATATTTACTTATTAAAAAAAAAAATTTGGTATTTTAAAGACATTAAAATCAGAAAGTTTAGTTGGTATTGATTCAAGATTAATTTCAAAAGGTTACTATGACAGCATGAAATCAGTATTAAAGAATAAATCAATTGATATAAAGTTTGACAATGAAAATTTAGTCGATAAGGTAAGAGAATCATTCAGAGGAGAAGAAGAAATTCCAGAGTATCCAAAAGATGAAGTTTTCTTTTTAGAAGAAAAGTATAGTGGTGTATCATCAAAGAATAAACTTCAAGATATTAGAAAGGAGATGGAAAAATCAAATGCAGACTATATGGTTGTATCAGCTTTGGATGAAATTGCATGGTTATTAAATTTAAGAGGTTCTGATATTTCATTCAATCCAGTTTTTCTCTCATATGTTATTGTTGGTCGTCAAGATAATCAATTGGCTTTATTTGTTGATTCAAGTAAATTAAATGAAAAGACCAAATCACATTTACCAAGTGGTATCGAAATACACCCATACGACAAGGTATTTGAATACTTAAAAGAAAAACAACAAGGTAAAAAAGTTTGGGTAGATCCACGTTCAAGCATGGCTCTTTACAATTGTGTGTCACAAGAAAGTCTCTTAGAAAAAGTTAATCCAATTCTTTTAATGAAGGCAATCAAAAATGAAACTGAAATTCAAGGTCTCAAGAATGCTCATATTCGTGATGCAGTTGCATTAATTCAATATTTAGCATGGTTAGAGGAAGAAATCGTTGAAAAAGGTGCCACCGAACACACAGAACATACAGTTAGCGAAAAACTTGAACAATTCCGTCGTCAACAAACTGATTTTGTTAGTTTAAGCTTTGATACCATCTCATCAATCAATGCCAATGGTGCAATCATTCATTATAAGCCAAATCCAGAAACATGTGCCAAAATTGTTAAAGGTATGTACTTGGTAGATAGTGGTGGTCAATATCTCGATGGTACTACCGATGTAACTCGTACTCTTCACTATGGTACTCCAAGTCAACATGAGATTGATTGCTACACTCGTGTACTTCGTGGTCATATTGGTTTAGGTTCTCTTAAATTCCCAAACCGTGTTAATGGTCGTGACATTGATTGCATCGCTCGTACTCATCTCTGGAATGTTGGCTTAGATTATGCTCATGGTACCGGCCATGGTGTTGGCTCATTCTTAAATGTACACGAAGGTCCACAAGGTATTAGTTATCGTGCTATTGCCAATCCAACTAATCTTCAAGCAGGTATGACTCTCACAAATGAACCAGGCTATTATGAATCTGGTAACTTTGGTATTCGTATTGAAAATGTTATGGTAACTGCTCAAGCCACTACTCAGTTCAATAATGGTCAATATTTATGTTTTGATAGCATCACTCTTGTTCCATACGATGCTAAATTAATTAACCTTAAAATGTTATCAAATGATGAAATCAGTTTCATAAATAGCTATTATAAAGAAATTGAACAAAAAGTTTTACCAGTCTTAGAAAAAACAAATAATCAAAAAGCAATTAGCTGGTTAAAGAAAAATATTCAATTACTTAAAAACCATTTTTAGAATATAAAAATAAAATATAATGATATTTAAATTTTAAAAAGATTATATAAAAAACTATGGTCTAATATTTTTTTTATTTTAAAACTTTTGTTCGTTTTTTATATTTAAAGTTATTTCATAAGTTACAACCGGTTTCATACTTTTTTTTTTTCTGAATATTTAAGTTAATCAAGGTTATTATTATTTTTTTTTTTTTTTTTTTAATATTTTTTTTGCTTTGGTTTTCATTTTTTTTATTTTTTTTTCAGTTGCTCCATTTTAATAATTTTAAACAAATCAAAGAATGGAAGATAATTCAGAATTATTTTTCAAATTATTTAGAATTAATTATATAAGGTCAAATATTTTTAGATTTTTAAAACTGTATAATATAAATCAAGGAAAAAGAAGGTTTTCGAGCTATAATGATTTAAAAAATTTTAAACATAAAGAATATCTTCAAAATGTTTTTTTAGATTTTAATGAAGATCCATTGGATTTAGAAATTTCGGACCACCTAGAAACCATTGAAATCTCATACAAGCTAGAAGAATTAAAAAGTGACATACCATCATCAATTACATCACTTATAGCACCATCGAGATTTAATTTAAAACATTATAAATCAGCAACAAAACTAAAAAAACTACAGTGCAAATATGTTTCTCTGGGCTATCATTCACCATTTTTTAATGAGTTGCCCGATTCAGTTGAAGAGCTAACCCTCATGCGTTTTAGATACCCAATCTTCAAAGAGAAATTACCAAAAAATCTAAAGAAGCTCATTCTTGATTTCGACCGATTTTATAATAGAACTTTTTCATCAGGCCAACTTCCCTTATCTATAGAATATCTTGAAATCAATGTTTCCTATCAAAGTTTTTTAATCGAACCAAGGATACTCCATTATGGATTAAAAACACTAAAAATGGATTCCCACTGTATGAAAATTCCTGAAGATTTTTATTTCCCAGAAACTTTAACAAGTATATCCCTTTGTTTCAAAGATAGCTACCCGTGTAATGGGCTTTTACCAAATTCTTTGAAAAAACTCAAACTTTCAATGCAAAAGCTACCAAATCAACTGTGCCAATCAATAGAGTTACCATTATCAGTCGAAAAATATAAATTTGTTTATATAAACTATCCAACGAGTCCTCAAAGCATCACCCGAAATATGATTCCAAAAAATGTAGTTTCATTAAAATTAGTTAATGTAGATAATATTTTAGATCCAAATAATGGCAATTCAATCTTACCAAGTGAGTTGCAAAATTTAGAAATCACTTCAGAATTAAATAATCAAACTTTTAACAATCAATTAAAAGCAAATCAATTCCCAAAAACTTTGAAAAAACTATCTCTTAAGGGTGGTTTTAATAATGGTGGTGAACCATTATCTGCTGAAGTTAAGGATCCTGATAACAGCGTTTTCCCATCAAGTTTGGTATATCTTGAGTTTGGTGATTCATTTAACCAACCTCTAGGTAAGAATGTTTTTTCCAAATCAGGAAATTTGGAAACAATCAAGTTTGGTCAATCTTTCAATCAAATCATTGATATCGATTTAATCCCATCAAGTGTTAAAACTATCGAAATCACAAACTTCGATTACCCACACACTCCCCAATTAGCAAAACTACTCGAAAAAAACCCAAATATTCAATTCCTTGGTTTTAATATTTTAGATATTTTTAACAAATGCCCAGAGAAGCTCAAATCTTTTGAAATTAGATGTAATAGGCCATTAAATAGCTTTAATTTGTCGAACAAATGCAATTTAGAGAAATTAATATTCAGTAATGAATTTAATCAAACACTTTTATCCAAAGACTTACCAGTAGATAACAATATCAAGGTATTGAAGCTAGGTAGCGGATTCTATCACCAAATTAATTTAGATCATTTTAAAAATCTCGAAACTCTATATGTCAATGATGCTAATTTTGAACTTATTTCATCATACTCATCAAAATTCCTCTATCAAAGTCCTCAGCTCATAACAGAGTCTATAGACTATAACCTCTATAACTTAAAAGAAATCATTGTTAATGTAGATAATTCAGTATTCATCGATTCATTAAATGAAGTGTTTTACCAATTTGTTAGAATCAAAAAAAATAATTAAATAAACAATAACCTTTTTTTGTATGGAATTATAAAAAATTTAAATTCCTTTTTTTTATTTTTTTTTATTTAAAAAACATACTTTTTCTTGGAGCTGGCGGATTTGATTGACTTGGTGAGGATTTATTATGATTACCTTTTGGAGGATTGGTGCTTGTGGTTGTACTTTGTGATTTTTTGTGTGAGTTTGCTAAATTGTTTGAAGATGGCGAAGGTGATGACGAGGATGAGGATGAACCAACTAAATTTGAAAAGAAACCTTTTTCCTGTGTGGGTCTTAATGTTAATATACTAGGTAGATCTGATGTTGATGATGCTCCATTGTTTGAGCTTGATGCACCACTACTACCTTCATCCTTTAACTCTTGCTTAACCATTGTTAGTGTAGTTATAAAATTAACTTTATTTATATTTTTTCCTAATTGACCAAAATAAATTGATTTCTCTGTAAATATTAAAATACAATTTGTAAAACCTAAATATATTAATCAATGGAATAATAAGTTAGTTTATATTTATTTGATTTTAATAAATTAAATTTTAAACTTACCAAAAATATCCAAAACATCAATGACTCTAATCTTGGTAATTAATGAAACATCTTGGATGGTTAAATTTTGTTTTGAATTAAAGCTTAAAATTGATTTTTGAACCTTTTGTAACAAAACTAAAGAATCATTAAAAGTATAGTAAAACATTTCTTTTGAAGCTTTAAATTCATCTGGGAAAATGCTTTGTTCTGTCATACCATCCTTTGATTTAGCCTTTCTATATTTTTTTAATCTTTTTAATAATGAATCCTCTTCTTTTAATGGATAAACTGAATGTACAAAAAAATCACCATCATTAATATATTTTCTAAAACTTTCATTCACATTCTAAAATTAAAAATTAAAATTAGTTTACAGTAATATCTATGAAAAGATTTAATTAAAACATTGTGATATTACTTACTACTTTTTCGACAATTAAGTCTTGAAGTATAACAGTTTTACTTGAATTATCATCATCTCTTTTTGCTTCATTTACAAATATAGCAACTTCTTTAATACCCTTTAAACACTTATTGATTATTTTAGCACATGGGTGGCTCTCTGGTGTATTCTTTAATAACTCATTAAGTAGTAAGATATAACGAGGCAATCTTTGAACTGGCATAATTAATAATGAACTAATATCTAAACCATTGCAACGGCTATCATTTCTGCATTTCTAATAAAAAAGAAAATTAATACCTTAATTATTATTTTTTATTTCTTTATAATTTACATACAACTAAAAAATTTTCAAAATCTTTTTTTTTTCTTAATCTAGCCAACAATGTTACGGAAGCATCGTACCCAATGATATAGTCACTATATTTTTTAAAATTCTCTGTCTAAAATAAACAATATTAATAAAAACTCACTAATAATTTAACCAATGTTCCAAGATATTATTTACATTTTTATTAAATATACTTGTAATGGATTCTATAGATTCTAACGATGTAATTGATTTTTGCTTTTGCTTTGCTGATGCAAATGTTGTTGTAGTTGTTGTGGTGGTAGTTGATAGTCTGTTTTGTGATGTTGTTACTGATCTAGTGAGTGATTGTGGTGGTAAAACATCTGTTGACCAACTGAATGAATTATAGCAAATTGCCAACTCTGTAAAAAACTGTACATGAAATTCTAATAATGGTTCTGTTAGAAAACAAGCTTTAATATTGTCCTCTTTTATTAATGATTTATATTGACCTCTTAATTGATCAATATATACCTCTTGAATTGCTGCTAAATATGTCACATAAGATTTCTCTGTCTGTATAATTTCTTCTAAAACCAACTCTCTTTTTTTTTTTAATTTTTCATCTATAAAAATAATAAAAAAAACAATTAGTAAATATTCGATTTGTAAAAATAAATTTTATTTATTAAAAATAAATATCTAATACATTACCCTCTGGTATTGAAGGAGCTGATGCATTGTTGCCCATCTTTAAAATTTATTTTTATAATACAAATAAATAAAATACAAATAAATAAATAATAAATAAATAATAAATCTTTTTTATACTTTTTATAAAATCTTTTTTATATTAATTTTATCATATGATTAAAAAACAAAAAAAAAGTTAAAAAAAATTTCAAAAAAAAAAAAATAAAGAAAAGAAAAAAAATAAAATTTAAATAGATTTTTTTTTTTTTCAAGAAATAAAATAAACCCGAGCACCCAGTTTATATAAAAATAGTCAATCAATACCAAAAATCCCCTTACAACACTGAATGTTGAAATTTTGATTATAATAAAATAAAAAATAAAAAATAAAAAAAGGTAATTTTGTGTTTTAATAATCAGAATATATGTTGTTATATTGGCTCTTTCTTTGTTGTGTAGATATAGATATTTGGGGGTGTGTTGTTGAAAGTATTAATTTTAACACAAGGTTATAACCTAAAAAAAAAAAATTTTCAAGTAAACAATTTTATAAAAAAATTTTTTTTTTTTTTTTTTTTTTTTTTTTTTTTTTTAAAAAAAAAATTAATTTTAATACTATAATTTGATTACAAACAATCAAAAATAAGCAAACAAATATATAAATAAATAATTATTTTGTTTTTTATTTGTTTTCAATCCAATTTTATTTTTTTATTATAATCAATAAAAATTATGTAAATCTACAATAATTTATTTAAAAATTGAAACAGAAAGAAAATATGATGGTTTTTTTGGGTCTATCTACATCTTGGTGTGATCTCGCCAATTGATTTACGATTTTTTCTAAAATTAATAAAATAAATTTTTCAAAAAAAAAAAATGATTGTGTGTAATTATTAAATTTAGTGTAATTTTATGTGCATTTTTTATGTTCAATTATAATTTTTTTTAAAGTTTAAAAAGTACATAATTAATAAAAAAAAAAAAAAAAAAGTGAAACAATGATTTAAATTGAACTAACAATAAAATCAATATGCAAAGTTGATTCTATAATTATCATAAATTCTTAAAGAAGAGGGTGATTATCTATAATTATTATTTTTTTTTTTTTTTCATTATTTTTTTTTTTTTATATATATTTATTCAAAAAAAAAAAACAATTATTTTTATTATTTAAAAAAATAAAAAAAAAAAAACAAAAAAAAATAAAAAAAAAAAACTTTTTTTAAATTTTTTTTATTTTTTTTTTTAGAATTTTTTATATTTTTCAATACAAAACATAAAACTCTATTTATATGATTTATTAATAATTAGAGTGTTGTTTCAAAATATATAATAAAATATATTATAAATATATTTATATATTTTTATATATTATATTTTTTTAGAAAAAAAATATATATAAAATATTTATTTTTTAGTTAAATCACAACTAATAATATTTGTTATTATTCAAATCAGTAATATACATTTTTTAATAGTTTGTTATAGTTTTTTTTTTTTTTTTATCATTTTTTTTTATTTCTTTTTATCACATAATAATCTTTACTTTTTTCCACACATACATCAATTTTGTTTTTATTTTTTTTTCGTATACACATACACACATTGAGAAAGAAAAAAATAAATCACATTTAATTTTTTTTTCAATCAATAAAGCAACACACACACACACACATTTTACACACACCTCACACTCAAAAACCCCACTCAAACAAAACTACATTTTATTTTTTTATATTATTATTATTTTTTTTTTTATTGTTTTTATTATTTAAAATTTTTTTATAAAATTAAACACACACAAAAAAAAAAACAATAATTATATAAAGTTGTTTAATAGTAATAATATCTCTATTTATAACTTATTTATATATACTTATATATTTATAAAATACTCTTGTGTAATATTATTGTATAATTATTTTATATAAAAACAAAACAAAACAGAAAAAAATCAAACCAAAATAGTGTTGATATAATTGTTTTTGTTTTTTTTAATTCATAGAATCAAATTAATTATATATTTTTTATATTTTTTTAATTTCAAAATTTTTTTTTTGTTTTTTAAAAAATTGTTGTTGTTAATAAAAAATATTTATTATTAAAAAATGTCAACAAAGCAAAAACAACTAAAATTCCATGACTACCAATTTACATCAACCAAGGATGAAGCATTTAAAAGATCAGAAAGATATATACACCAGTTTTTAAATAAAAATTTATTAAAGAAAAAAGATGGAACATTAGGTACACCAGAGGAATTGTTAACATTAATTCAACAGGCCAATATTAATTTAGGTGCATATTCGTCAACAAGCAGTGGCAGTACAATGGGGGCAATGTTAAATCACACAGTTTCGACTATCAATTTAGGGTCAAGTAATGGAGGTGTACCAAATAGTATTAGTAGTGGAGGCCACACAACAACAGTGGCTACCGTGAGCACCCACATTACCTCACATCATCACAGTGGTAGTGGTAATTTAGCAGGTACAGCAACTACTGGTGGTAATAATAATAATACTTCAACAACTACCATTTCAATTACAAGTAGTCCAACCACATCCAGTGCATCACCTTCTCAAACATCAACCACCACATTGGCATTAAATAACAGTAACAGCAGTGTAGGAAGTGGTTCACAAAATGCATCTGATACAGCCCAAATCGATATCGAATTTCATTTATCATACACTCAACTTGTACAATTACCACAAAGTATTTTCAATTTGGTTTGGATTCAAAAATTGGTATTGACTCATCACAATATTAAAACCTTAAGCGAAGATATTGGCAAGCTTCAACAACTTCAAGTATTGATTTTAGAAAATAATAGACTCATCAGTTTACCACAGTCGATAGGTGATTTAGTCAATTTAAAGAGATTGGAAATTGATAACAATCATTTGGTATCTTTATGTTCTTTAGAGCGTTTGTCAAAACTTGAAGTACTCTCTGTAAATAATAATAAATTAACTTTACTTCCAACTTCCATAGCCTCTTTAACCAGTTTAAAAACTTTAAATATCAAACAAAATCCAATTATAACTCCACCATCAACTGTAATTTCAAAGGGTTTAAAAGATATTGTTTCATTTTTAAGAGAATTAGAAACAGGTGCTAGACCATGCTTAAGATCAAAATTAGTAGTATTGGGTGATCGTAAGTTTTAAAAAATTAAATCAATATTTCCATAAATATCATATTAATTTTTTTTTTTTTTCCATAATTTAGCTGGTGTTGGTAAAACTTCTGTAATTCAATGTATAAAAGGAAAAAAGAAAAAACAAACAAATAATAATGTAAATATAAATAATAATGGATCAGAAATTGGTATTGAAATTGATCAATACGATTTTGACATAGTTGATGAAGATGATAAGAAACGAAGAGTCATTACATTATCAACATGGGATATCGCAAATCAAGATGTTTACTTTTCATCAAGTCAACTATTCGACTCAGAAAGATCAGTTTATATTGTAGTATTTAGTTTAAATAATGACGATTTCTCAGCAATAGAATATTGGCTCCATTGTATAATGAGTACCTCACCAAATTCACCAATTGTATTAGTAGGCACCCATATCGATGAATTTGAAAATTTAAATGTTGTCAATGCGGTATTAGAGTCTGTTGCTTCACGTTTCCAAAAAAGATTTTCAAATATTCAAGCAATTATCTCTGTCAGTTGTACTACTGGTTACGATGTCGATAAACTTAGACAGTTAATTGAAGAGATCATCAAAGCTCAACCATACCTCAAGGAGAAAGTACCATCTAGTTTCTTTACATTAGAAGAGGCTTTAATCGAAGTTAAAAAGAAAAGAATTCCACCAGTAATGATGTGGCAAGAATATATAAATCTAGCCAATATTTGTAATCTTAAAGATAGCGTTCAAATTCAACGTGCCACCGAATTTCTTCACAACATTGGCAGTATTGTCTATTTCAACGATTTAAATAGCTCTGTTGGTAAAATGGTTATTCTCGATCAACAATGGATAATCAATTGTATGTCCTCTTTAATCACATCAAAAGTTTTAATAAATAATTGTAATGGTATCGTAAGACAGTCAGATTTAGAATTAGTTTGGAAAGCTCCAACATATCCAGAACACCTCCATAGCGCACTCCTTTCCATAATGCAAGCTTTTGAAATTTGTCGTCCACTATCACCATCCGATTTGGTTAAACCCGATGAAATCAACGATAAAGAAGTCATTGGTGACCGTAATTTAGTTCCAAACTTATTATCAGATAATAATTCAAATATAATAACCCAATGGGATGATTTTATCGATCCAGATACTATCCTTTTAAATAGACAATATCATTTACCATTCCTCCCAGAGAAATTTTTTGGTAAACTCATTATTCATTTAATGAATTTCACAAAAGTAGAATCCTGTTACAAAAGAGTTGTTGTGGTTAGAAATAACGATGGCCATGAAGCTTTAATCGAATTAAAAACTATAAAGGAAAAAGATGGTTCCTCAAAGAAAGTATTAACTGTTGATGTTCGTGGTATGGTAGCTCCAGTATCATTATTAAGAATTGTTACCGATACAATTGAATCATTGTTTTCACAATGGTATAAATTAAATATTAAAAGGTAAGAAATAAAATTATAAATAATAATAATAATAATTAAATACATTAAACTAATAATTTCATCATTAAAAATATAGATATATAAGTTGTTATGAATGTGCAATTTTATATGATAGAAATCCAACTTTATTCACAATCGAAGAGTGTGAGTTTGCAGTAATTGACGGTAAAACAGTACTAACATGTCATCAAAAATCAGATTCAGAAAGGGTTTCAACATCGCACCGTTTGAAATTAGATATTTTAGCACCAGATATTTCAATGGTTGATATTCCAATACCAAGATTTGATTTAAAGGAAATTAAAATTTCAAAAGAAGTAGGTCGTGGTGCATTTGGTATAGTTTATGAAGCAGAATGGAGAAATGATTATATAGCACTCAAGAAATTATTATTACCAACTACAGGCGGTGATAGTGCCGATGGTCAACCCGAACCAGATGCAGCAGCCCTTATGGAAGATCGTCTTAAAGTATTCCGTGAATTCCGTCACGAAGTCTATAGTATGAGCAGATTAAATCATCCAAATGTTATGAAGATTAGTGGTTTCTGTATTCAACCTCTTTGCATGGCCTTGGAATATGTACGTTATGGTTCACTTTATAGTTTACTTTCAAATAATACAATCGAAATTGGCTGGGGTCTTCGTTTACAAATTGCTATAGAAATCGCCAAAGGTATGCAACATCTTCACTCTCACAATCCTCCAGTTATTCATCGTGACTTGAAATCCCCAAATGTTTTATTAAATGGTATCACTGAAGGCTCAAATAACGTTGCAACAATCATCGATTTTGGTACATCCACAGCTTTATATGGTGGTGCTGCTTTAATTCGTTGCGTTGATCAACCACTTTGGCTTGCTCCAGAGGTTCTTGCCTGCACTGCTTATAGCGAACCAAGTGATGTTTATTCATTTGGTATCATTCTTTGGGAGTTATACACTCGTGCTCATCCATTTGATGAATTTTCATTTGGCCAATGGATGTCTAAATTAGAAGATGAGATTATTCGTGGTCTTCGTCCTACTATTCCTTCAACATGTCCTCCAGAGTACGTAGAGTTAATTCAAAGTTGTTGGACTCACGAACCAAATAGCAGACCAACCTTTACCTCAATTGTCGAAGCACTTGGTCAAATCAAAAAGAAGTTTGCTCCATTACCTTTCACTCATCCACCACATATCAGAAATATGATGAGAAAATCAAGATCATCCTCCATCTCCGAAGCAATGTTACCAAGTAATTTATTACACTTAAATTTAAATGGCATTAATGGCGGAAGTAAAGATACCAGCGTTCTTAGTGGTAGTCCAACTGCTACCGGTACTCTTAGTGCTACAATGATCACATCTACAAGCCTTTCAAAAGATAGCATTTTATCATCAAGTTTAACTGGTCGTGATATTTTAAATAGTAGTAGAGATAACTCATTATTAACAGCATCATCATTGGGTAATAATACCTCAACCTCATCATTAGCCTCCTTGGTTTCAAATAATAGTGGTATGCATCACTCACCATCTGCATCAGAAAACTTAAATGACCTTCATTTCGAAACTGATACTATAGACTTTTTCCAAGATATCTTCACAGAAGAAGAAAATGAACAACCATATCCATTTGCCGACGATGATCAACAAAAAGGTATCCTCTTTGGTTTTGATGAAGAGCAACAAAGTAGCAGCAGTAGTGGTAGTGCTATTGTTTCAAACAACAGTTCAGTTTCTATAATTATTGCAGCCACAATGGCCAAGATGATCGAAATGATGACTAAAGGCGAAAGTTCAGCCACAATCAAGAGTGATCAAATTGCAACTCGTAGAAGATCAGACACTGCAGGTAAAAATGGTGTTCCACACACCTGGAGAAATTCAGTTCCATTATCAACAAATACTTGCACCACTTTGGATGAAACTTTTATTGATGATTTCATTTATGTTTATCGTTCATTCGCTACACCAAGAAGTATATTTAAATTATTAGTTCGTAGATTCTTTGGCCCAAGAGGCACCGATAAAGTAGATGGTTTCACTGTTAAGAAATTTGAACAAAAGAAACAAGCAATTCGTCAAGGTATTGCAGTATTCCTTCGTAAATGGGTTGCTGATATTACAGAGTTGGAATTTAGACAAGACGAATTTTGGTTATATCACAATACAGTATCATTCAATAAACAATTTATTAGCCCAGAATTCCCAAATCTTGCTTACCAAATCAATCAAACACTCGCAATTCATGAAGATGAAGTCAATTTAACTAATCAACGTTTCCTTCAAATTGCATTCAGTGAAAGTGAACTCAACTATGAACGTACAAGCTCTTTAACATCATCAATGGTACCACCAAAACCATTTAGAAGTCAAAAGAATTTAGGTAATTTAGGTTCACCAGGTATCGATGGTCCACTTATGTCAAACCAAAGTGATATTTCAAGAGTATTTTTAAATTTAGCAACTGGAATGAGAGACCCATTATTAGGTATTTTAGTTAGAGAAAGAAAGTTCAAAAAGGATAAAGTAAGCACAATTTGTTGCAGTGGTTCGGAAATCATTGATTGGATCACCAAATGTATGCCAATTGAAAGAGCTGATGCAAAATATTTAGTATTGGATATGTTAATGAAACAATTCTTTATTCAACTCTCTGAGGAAGGTTTACCAATCTTTAAAGGAAATCCAAATTTCTCAGATTCACCAACCTCATTCTACATGTTTTTAGAAGATGACCCAGAATTAGTTGCTCGTCAATTTACATTTTTAGAATTAAAATATCTTCATAATATTCATCCAAGAGAATTATTAGGTTTCTCTGTTGGTTTAGTAATGCCAAACGAAAACGAAAAAGATCCAGAAAAATGGAGACAATCAAACTTCCCACACATTTACGATTACTTTAAATGGTTCAACAAGATGACAATGTTGGTTAGTACCGAAATTCTTAGACAACGTGATATTAAACAACGTGCAATCACAATTGAAAAATATATTTCAGTTGCACTCGAATACCTTTCACTTTGGAATTTCAATGGTATTATGCAAGTTCTCAGTTCACTTCATAGTGAACCAATTTCACGTCTCACCGTTTCTTGGTCAAAAGTTTCACAAAAGTATTTAGATTGTTTCCACGACCTTTCACGTCTCATGTTACCAGAATCAAATTATCTCCCATTACGTTCTGCCTTAGCCCAAAAACCAAATACTTTTATTGTATCACCTGCCTATCCAAATATTGCAAGCTATATGACTCACTCCATCTGCCCAACCGTTCCATTTTTAGGTGCATTAATTGCTGATCTTTCTCAAACATGCACAGAGAACCCAACATTTATTAGTAGCGGTGGTGAAAAAATGATTAACATTCTTCGTGTTAAACGTTTATCTAAAAAGATGAAAATGTTTAAAGAATATAAAGAAATGCCAACTGTATACTCTCCAGCACTTCCCAGCGTCCCATTGCAATATTATGAACATTATGTCAACGAGTTAAAAGCATTAGATCATCTTCAACTTGACCGTCTCTCTGAAATAGAAAAGAAATTAGAAATAGTAGCAGAAAAAATGGGTACAACCGAACAAGAAAAAGAAAATGATGGTAATAATAATCTAACAGGTTCAAACTTTTTTGGTAGTGGTTCTGATGAATTAACAGAACGTGATTGGACCATTCTTTTAACCAATGCCTCAGTTATTACTTATAGTCGTGGTGATGTTGTCATGGAAGAAAATGCTATTAATACTCATCTCTATCGTATTAAATCTGGTGCAATTTCTGTAGAGAAAAAAGATAAAGACGGACTTAATGTTAAAGTAGCTACCATGTTAGCACCAAAAATGTTTGGTGAAATGTCATTCTTAGGTAATAAAACTACTGCTCGTTTAACTGTAGAGGAAGAATCTGATCTCTATGTTATGGATATTCCATTCCTTAATAACCTCTTTAATAGTCATCCACGTCTTGGTGCTAAATTCTATAAGATTATGGCCAATCAATTAGCAATCCGTCTAAAGAACCTCCCATGGTCCAAACCAAAACAAAATGGTAGTAATAGCAATAACAACGGTAATATTCAAAATGGTCCAGATAATATTTTAGGTACCACACCAACTGGTTCAGGTGGTATTTTAACAAATCAAAACCTTTCAAATATAATTTCATCCGCATCAAGCACACCACCAGCCTCACCAAGAGGACCAACTATGCAAGCTCCAGGACCAAACCCATTATTAAACAATATTCACCCAACCATTCAACATCGTGCATCATCAGCTAACCTTGTTCCACATCCAAGTCAACCAACACACCGTCCATCCAATGCCAACTTCCACCTATTATCAGGTAATAATAATACACCACGTGGTGATGGTGGCCGTAGCGGTAGTGTAAATTTCGGTCGTACCCAAACATCAACCTCACCATTAAATGAAAACTTTGGTGGAGCACCTGTAATGAAAAAGAATGATCAAGAATTTTGTCAACGTTTCTCATTAGAAGGTGAAATTGTTATTAAAGATTATCCATGTTCATTAAATCGTTCAGGTAGACTTTACATTTCCCAACAACACGTTTGTTTTTACAGTAAATTCTTTGGTTATAAGACAAAGAAAGTTATTCCATTCAAAAATATCGATAATTTGATCTGTGTAAATGTAAATCAATTAGAATTAACTCGTATTAAAAATACAGTTCCAAGTATTTATCGTTTAACCTTCCAAAACAATAGAGATCGTGAAGACGCCTTCAGTATGATCCAAATCCTTCATCAATCATCAAAACAATCAAATTCAACCTCTGATGAAATCAAAAACAAATTAGCTCAAGAACGTAAAAAAGTTAATAATCTCACTCTTAAAACCCGTAGCAATAAAAATAAAGGTGACGAACTCACCAAAGAAGACTGGGAACTCATTGGTTGCGAAGGATCTCGTTCAACAAATTATAAAAAAGATGAAGTTATTATTCGTGAAGGTGAACGTATGCAAAAGATTTTCCAAATTGGTAAAGGTGTTTGTAGAATTGAAAAATCCGTACCAATTGCACCAGGTTCTAGCGAAATGAAAAAAGTAGTTTTAGGTACAATGAAACAAGATGATACTTTTGGTGAAATCACTTATCTCCTTAATGGTGAAACAACTGCCGACGTTATCTCTGACTCTGATCAAACCGAAGTTTATACCATCGAGGGCCAATTTGTAAATATATTATTCGATTTAAATCCTGCCTTAGCTTCAAAATGGTTCAAATATTTAGCTACTGCCTTAAACAAAACCTTAATAGAAAGAGAATCACAACTTTATGCTTAAATAATAAACTAAAATATAATATATTGATCAAAAAAAAAAAAGAGAAATAATTATAAATAATATATAGTAATATTAAAATATTTTAAATAAAACCTGTAATATATAGTATAATTTATATTATATAAAAATAAAATTTACTTTTATTAAATACTATTAAAACTTTTTTAAACTTTAGAAACAATATAAACAGATAAAGATAAAAAAAGGAATTATTCCACAATCTTTTTTAAAAAAATTTTATATTTGTTTTATTTATTATAATTTATTATTGCAATTTATTTACTGAATTTGTTTTTTGGGAGTTGGAGAGGGGCGGTTAATCTAACTGATCTCTTATCTGCATTTACTCTCATAATCTTGCAACCAACACGTGCAAAATGTTTTTCAAATGTATTAGAAGTAAGTGAAAGAGCTTGAGAAAGTAATGTAATATCTGAAATTTGGAAATCTTCTAATTTTAATGCAAAAATAGCTAAATAATTGTAAATCTTTAATTTGTCGTCTTGTGAAATTATATATTTCTTGTTACCAGTTTTACTACCAAATAATGAAACTAAAAATGAAATAATATCATTGGTGCAACCTTCTTTTAATAATGGGTCATGGCTACCTCTTGATTTCATTAATCTGAAAAAAAAAAAAAAAAATTAATATTTATATTAATTTTTATAAAACTATTTCTATCCTTCTTGTTATGCTGTTATGCTAAAATATCTATTATGAATAAAAATTGAAACTTACATCATAGTATACCACATAAATGTTAAAATTTTACATTTGTATACAATTAAATCTTCATCTTTTTCGTCTTTCATTAAATCTAATTGATTTTTAAAGTATTCTGGTAAATATGCTGGTGCTTCTGATTTTTCGTAAAGGATATCTAAAAATGTTTGATGATTAATTGCAAAGAAAATTCTTGGTGGAAGAATAGCTTCAATATTATAAATTTCATCGGCTTTATTAGTTTCTGCATCAAAATCTGGTAAATCAAATGGTTCTAAAAAATTATAAAATATCAAATTAATATATTTTAAAACAAACATCATATCTATAATAATATATTGACATACTTTCATCAGATTCTTTATCTGCCAATTCATTTTTAACATCTGCAATTGATTGGGTGGTTTTTTCATAATCTAAGTTTTCTACATTTTCCATTTCTAATTTTTGCATCTTCTTCTTGGTAACTTTAGAACCAAAACTTTCTGCTAATTTCTTAACTTTATCATAACGTTCTTCTCTTGATAAACCCTATTATTTTTAAAAATATTAGCTTTATTATGTTCCTGTCATTATACTATAATAATATTTTATATTATACATACAGATGAGGAGTCTAATGTTAATTTATAACCAATAACAGATTGTTCCATTGATAAAATTTTTGATGGAACAATTTTTAATTGTTTAGTAGCTTTATCGAAAATACCAATAGCATATTTTGTTAATTTTGAATCATTATCTTGTGATTCATATTCTAATTGATCTGTAGAGGTAATAATAGTTCTCTTTTTTTTGTTGTGTGATAAACTAACAAATTCTGGATCATTTTCGACAAATGAAAGTGGTGGTAAACCTTGTGAGAATTTTAAAACAGCTGGTTTATTGCTGCCTAATTCTTTATCTTCTAATATTTTGATTGATAAACGTTGACATTTTTATATATATTTATGATTTTATTTTATTATTATTATTTGAAAATAACCAAAATTTTAAAATTTTTTTTTTTAAACCTTTTTTAATTTTATCAAAAATATTTGTTTGTTTTCTAAAAATGTAAAATTTTAAAATAAAAAAAAAAAAAAAAAAACCCTTCGGTTTTTTAAAAAATTATTTTTTTTTATAAATTTAATTTTCTTTTTTTTTTTTTTTTTTTTTTTTTTTTTAATTTTTTATGGAAATACAATGAATTAAGAAATATTTAATTTTTAAAAACAATCTAATTTCATGAATCATCAAATAAATAATAATTTATTTTACCCAATAATAAAAAATAATTATTATAATAAATATTAAATAAAATTATTTTACCCTACCATTCATTAAGGAAATATATAATGATATCACGACACGCGGAACTTAAATCAAACAAAAATTACTTTATTTTTTTTTAAGGGGATATTTTTGTTTAAGTTTTTATGATAATTGACAACTTTGATTGATATTATTTTTCTTTTCCATGAAGATATTTAATAATATCTTTTCCAAATTATTCATTTAAGTTATTTAAAATTTTTTTTTATTTTTTTTATATATATAACCAACTCATTTAAATTTTTATATATTAACTATTCATTATTACAGAAATAAATATTAAATTAGATAAAATAAATAAATAAAATAAAATGAAATTTAAAAGTATTATATTTTTATTATTAATTATTTCTACATTATTCATTAGTGGAGGTTGGGGCCTAACCTCTACAAGTAGCAATGGAGGATCAACAACTAGTGGAAACTCAACAACAAGTGGGGGATCATCAACTGGGGGATCAACAACTGGAGGATCAACAACCAGTGGAAACTCAACAACCAGTGGAGGATCATCAACAGGTGATATTGATTCAGAATAAGTTTCTATTTTGACATGTAACTCTAATCAAGGGTGCCAATATATAATAAGAAAAAAAATGAAAATTGGTGAGGTTGTAGAAGATACAACAAATGGTAATAGTTTTATTTATTTTGGAAATCATAGAGTATGTTATTCCGTTCGTTATTCCGAAGATGGGTGGAGATGGTACATCACGTTGTAAAAACTATTGTTTCCAAGCAAACCCAAAAACAAATTATATTACTGAGGACATCGAATTTTTGGTATCATATGACTACTATTGCCGTGCTTTATGGAGATACTCTTACACCATCACTATAGAAGATTCCAGTGTTTCATCTTCGACCAATAATAAACCAACAATACTATTGGGACTATCAATACTTCTTATCATGTTTGGTTTATATATTTAAATAAATAAATAAAGTTTTTATCACTGAGCCAAATAACTAAATAAATTTAGATAAAGAAATATCAAACAGTTATTTTTTTTTTATTATTTTAGTTTTAAAATTTTTTTTTTTTTTATTTTTTTTTTTAAAATCGCTGGGATAATTTTTTTTTATAAAATTTTTTTTTATTGAAAATGATTTATATTTATGCAGTGAAATATCATTATGTATTTCTTTTTGAATAAAGCAGGCTTATATTAAATAATTTTATATTATAACTAATATGTATTTGTCAAATCAAAATCTTCTAAAGAATAAGATTCCCTAATAAATTAATTTATTTTATTAGTTTTTTTATTGTATTCGCATAAAAATAGATAAAAAAAAAAATTAGATATTTATTTTATCATTTTCTATTAAATTTTTTATTATTATAATTAAATTCCCTGGTTTTAAAAATATTAAACTTAAATCTAAAATTTTTTTTAAAAAAGTAGTTTTTTTTTAAGATTTTATGATAATTGGCCATTTTGATTTGATATTGTTTCTCTATTATTCAAGCTAATATTTATTAATATCTTTTCCGTTTTTAAGTTACCGAAATTTTTTTTTTTTTTTAATTTTTTTTATAAAAAATCTATAAATTCTATTTATTATTTTTTTATAATAGATATATAAATAAATAAATAAAAAAAAATGAAATTAAAAAGTATATTAATTTTAGTATTAATAATTGTTTTTTCATTATTCATTAGTGGGGGTTGGGGCCAAACTTATGCAAACAGTAATAGTGGGTTAACAGCTAGCGGAGGCTCAACAGATAGCCATGGATCAAGCAATGGAAACTATACATCAAGCGAAGGATCACACCATGGAAACTATACATCAAGTGAAGGATCACACCATGGAAACCATACATCTAGCGAAGGATCACACCATGGAAGCTATACATCAAGTGAGGGATTAAATGGAGGTGGTAACAATTGTCCATACCCAAATGATAGAAATTCAACAACAAACGATAATGCTGCAGAATTCGTTTCTATTTCGTTATGTTCTGATGATAAACAATGCACTGATATAGTTAGAAGAAGAATGAAAGTTGGCGAGGTGGTAAAAGATTCAAATAATAACAGTTTTGTTTATGTTGGGGATCATAAAGTATGTTATTCCGTTTATTATTCCAGAGATGGTTGTTTGGGTGGTGATGGTACCTCAAGATGTGAAAACTATTGTTTCCAAGCAACCCCCAAAACAAATAATATGGTTATCGTTATGAGGGAGTTTTTAAATTATTATTGCAGTCAATATTTAAAAACATCTTACTATATCACTATTGGCGAGCCCAGTAGCCATTCTAACAGCTTTGGTGACTCTGTTTCGTCTTCAACAAAAATTAAACCAACAATACTATTGGGACTATCAATACTTCTTATCATGTTTGGTTTATATAATTAAATAAATAAATAAAGTTTTTATCACTGAACAAAAATAACTAAATAAAAATTTAGATAAAAAAATATCCAACAGTTGTGGTTTTAAAAATTTTTTTTTATTTTTATTTTTTTTTTTAAAATCGCTGGGATAATTTTTTTTTTTAAAATTTTTTTTTATTGACAATGATTTATATTTATGCAGCGAAATATCATTATGAAATTCTTTTTGAATAAAGCAGGCGTATATATATTAAATAATTTTATATTATAACTAATATGTATTTGTCAAATCAAAATCTTCTAAAGAATAAGATTCCCTAATAAATTAATTTATTTTAATAGTTTTTTTATTATATTCTCATAAAAATAGATAAAAAAAAAAATTAGATATTTATTTTATCATTTTCTAATAAATTTTTTATTATAATTAAAATCCATAATTTTAAAAACATTCAACTTAAATCTTATAATTTTTTTAAAAAGTAGTTTTTTTTAAGTTTTTATGATAATTGGCCATTTTGATTAGATATTGTTTCTCTATTATTCAAGCTAATATTTATTAATATTTTTTCCGTTTTTAAGTTACCGAAATTTTTTTAAAATTTTTTTTTATATAAATTTTCTCATAATTCTATTTATTATTTTTTTTTTTACAACATAAATAAACAAATAAATAAATAAAAAAAATGAAATTAAAAAGTATATTAATTTTAGTATTAATTATTGTTTTTACATTATTCATTAGTGGAGGTTGGGGCCAAACTTCTGAAAATAGCAATAGAGGGTTAACAGCTAGCGGAAACTCAGCAGATAGCCATGGATCAAGCAATGGTAATTATACATCAAGTGAAGGATCAAGCAGTGGAAACTATACATCAAGTGAAGGATCACACCATGGGAACTCAACATCAAGCGAAGGATCACACCATGGAAACCATACATCAAGCGAAGGATCACACCATGGGAACTCAACATCAAGCGAAGGATCACACCATGGAAACCATACATCAAGTGAAGGTGATAACCATTGTCCAAGCCCAGATAATAGACCAACGACAAGTGATAATACTACAGGATTCGTTTCTATTTCGTTATGTTCTGATAATCAATGCAATGATATAGTTAGAAGAAGAATGAAAGTTGGTGAGGTTGTAGAAGACCCATTATCTCATAACAGTTTTGTTTATGTTGGAAATAATAAACTATGTTATTCAGTTCGTTATACCAAGGATGGTTGTTTGGGTCAAGAAGGTATAGAATTTTGCCAAAACAATTGTTTCCAAGCAACCTCAAGAAAAAATCATCTATATATCGATAAGGCTCTAAAATTATCTTTATTTTGTACTCAATATTCAAAAGAACACTACTCCATCACTGTTGGAGAATACAATAGTGGCACTACTGGCAATCACGATGATGACATAGTTTCATCCTCAACCAAAAATAAACCAACAATACTATTGGGACTATCAATAGTTCTCATCATGTTTGGTTTATATATTTAAATAAATAAATAAAGTTAATTTAAAATTTTGAATTTATTTATTTCGATATTGAAATAAATAAATTCAAAATTTTTTGGATTTTTAGGTAAAAATCTATTTAAAATTTTTTTTTTTATATATTTTTTATAATTTTTTTTGTTTTTTTTTATAAATATTTTTTTGCTGGTCATGATAAATATTTTTCTTTTAAAATTATTTAGTTTTAAACTATTATAACAAATGAATAAAATAAAATATTTAATTGTTTTTTTATCTTTTTTTATAATTTTTGTTAATTCTCAATCATCATCATTAGTATTAATTGAATATTATCAATATAGAGAAGTATGTTCAATTAAAGATTTAGGGTATACAGAACCATCAACACTTTGTCACAATAATACATTACTTTCAAAATCAATAGTAAAGCAATCAGAATGTATAGTTTTTCAAATGGAACCTGCAATTTTTACATATGATCCCAATAATAATCAAATTGTGCAAAAGATTTATTCAGATATAGTTTGTAAAGGTAACAAATATTAGTTTATTTATATTAGTTTGATTTTATTTGTTATTAAATCTTTTTAAAATTAATATTTTAAAAGACTATGTAGATTCGAAAATCCATATAATAGGATCTTGTAATTCAACATGTATGGTGGGCGATGGTCTTATTTATAAAATGTCTTTGGTGGATCAAGTGGAGATTCCTAGTTCAACATTAGTATCAGTAATCTATGGTGACAAATGTAATAAAATATTTAAAAACTCATTTCTAGAAATTGATTATCAATATTTAAATAATTGTCAAGTAGATTACGAGGTAGAACCAATCTACTCAGTTAAAACCTATTGTAACGAAACTTTCATAACAAGTTATATTTATAATGGTTCACTTTGTTCCGGACAAACAACAAATATAGAATATTACCCAATAGTCAATATATGCTCAACGCCAGATAGTCCACTAAATTTTATGCAATTTTGTAATAATTAAAAACAGTTTTATATAAAATATTTTACATACACAAATAATAAGAAAATCTATAAAATGTTTTATTTTAAAGAGACAATGGTTTTTATTTTATTTTTTTTATGAGCTTTTAGCTTGGAGTGAATATTTAGTTTTTTGTTTACAAATTAAGATTGTTGTTTAATACTTCATTTTCTTCTTCTTTAAGTTTCTTTTTAGATTCATCAAAAAATAATAGGCTTTTACATTTTTCATTAGAATCACTTGCACCTTCATTGTCATTTCTTTCTCTTTTCTTTTGGTGTGGTAAAATATCTTCTGATATGGCAGGAATGGTAAACGTGTGTTCATCATTTGAAGGTAATTCATTGATTGTTTTAAATGTTAATGTGACAACAATGTCATCTCTTGTAATTGTTATTGTTGTGGAGGTACCATTGGTTTGTAATAATGACTTTTTGGTATATACATTTATTCCATATGATTCTGGAAGCATTTTATGTGCATTAGATAGATCTTCAAAATCGAATGTTGTTAGAGTTGTCATTTCATCATTACCCTTATTGAAATTATTATTATTATTATTGTTGAAGCTGTTTAAAAATGACATTGGAAAATAAATACAATTTGTAATTTCTGAAACTGATCTATAGGTTTTAACCATTTTTAATAGTTTTTGATAATATTTTAATTCTTCATCTTCATAAATATGATAATGGTTAATAAAGGCTTGTTCTTCCAACTCTGGAGATGTTATTGAATCTGTTTTTGTAATTATATCAAATTCTTTATTATATTGTTGTTTTCTATTATAAAATCTATGAATATGAGTAAATCTTATAAAAATCTCTGAAGATGATTCATTATTTTTATTATTATTATTATTATTATTATTGTTATTATTATTATTATTGTTATTGTTATTATTATTATTATTATTACTGTTATTATTGCCATTATGATAACTATCAATGTTATCATTTCCAACAGGATCTTCAGAGTCCTTTATTTCTTTATCTTTGTTTTCATTTTCTTCCTCTTTTTCATTCTTCATTTTCTTTTTTTTATCATTTTCATTTGGTCCATTTGGTTCATTATTATCTTGTGGTCTGTTTATACCAGTAGATGTCTTAAATATAGTCTTTTTTGGTTTGCCTGTAAACTTTTTTTTAAAAATATGATAGAGTTCTTCAGTAAG